TGTAGCGCGAATGAATAAGCGGTTCTGCATTTTCTTTATTGGTGCTTATAAGACCTTGAATCTCACGTAGTTGTACTGCATTCCTTTTTTTGATCTTACAATTCCTTTTTTACTTGGTTTGTTTATTTACTCATCATTGATATTGTCAACGTAAGAGTTGGGGGACGTGGAGGTTGGTGGAGAATGAAAGGGGAAAGGCTTGCTGGTTTATTCGGGAGGTAAAGGTGTGGCCCCCGAGAGTGACCCGCGCCCCGAGGGCGGAGGCGTGGAGAGTGACCTCCCGCCCTGGGACTCCTACTAGGTTTTGGTCTGCTTCTGGTGTTCTCTCTTCTCTGCCTGGCGAGACGTCCTTATATCCAGCGACTCCGTGTCCTACTGGCGGAGGTGCCTGGTACCCTATTCTTTGGGTGTCCACTCTTCCGGGCGTGACGAAGGGCTGCGATCGCCGGAAGGAAAGTGCGAAGCCAGGAAGTAAGGCAGCTGCAATGCCTAGGTGTGAAGCCCAACCCATCCTGTTCTGCATATCGCTGACAGATATTATCTGTATCAGTATCAGTTTTAATGTCAATATCAATATCAGCATCAATATCGATACCAATATCATTATTGTATTGAGTCGCAAGCTTTCGTTTCTTTATTCTATTTTCTTTAATTGAACAGCGAGTATTCTCTCTCTCTCTCTCTTCTTGAGTGGCTATTTCCGGCTTAAAATGTTCGTAGTTCTGAGTGTATTTAAATCCGAATTATATATCTGTGAAGGAGTTTGCGTGGAAAGGTATTGCTGTCAGAGTGAATGAGCAGACCAGGGCCTTATTGCATGTTTCGAAGTTGATGTCCTGGCATGTGGATATAGCTAGAATATTGTGCTATAAATGGGAGAGAGGAAAAGAAAGTCTTCTTGCAGATAAGAAAAGTAAACGTTCAGGGATATGATTGGCGAAGTCCTGACGTGGGTCGGGGAGAGCCTCGGGTTTGCGGGGTCGTGCCTGCTCGCCCTGGTCGTCCTCCTCATCTTCGTCCTGCCCAGGGGTCGTCCCAAAAACTTCCCACCAGGTAATCCATCTAAATCAGAACATTGTACGTTAACTAGGATTTCTCTTTTTGGCCTGGAGTATATATATATATATAATATATATATATATATATATATATATATATATATATATATATATATATATATATATATATATATATATATATATATATATGTACACCAAGAAAACCAAAGTATACGATTGAGTTATTCTTTCCCCATGTTTATTACTTCACTTTAGAATGAACCGTATTCATATTGACAAATGTAGAAAAAATATGAATGAGAATGAATATCTTCACAATACAAGAGATGTATTTGATCGGTTTGGAAGATATCTTCGTCAGAAATACATGAACACATGTATTTCCGACGAAGGTATATTCGAGACCGATCATTCTCATTCATACCTTTTCTACTTTACTTAAGGTTTACCGATGCTGCCGCTGATAGGATCTATGCCGTTCACAAGAGGGCCAATCACGCGGTCTTTCATTAACTCTTTGAGGAAGAAATATGGAGATCTGGCAAGTTTCGCCATTCTTAATGCAAGGTAAGTTGTCTCTCATATTCTGCTGCAGACGATGTTCGCAGTGATATGAGACTCATTAAGTTCGAGACTTTTGCTTGGCAAATAGATATCTAACTTGCAATTTACAACGAATTTCAATAATACAGTTGTATAAGAGTAGAATATAAAGAAAGAGTCAATTTTAGGAGTGCATGGCAACCCCTTCTGAATATCGAAAAGGCACAAAGAAAAAAAAAATATCCTTCATTTACTCTCTCGTGGGTACCTCATGCCTTTCTATCCCAGGTCATCCGTAACACTTCATCCGCAGAATTTCGTTGACGCATAAAAAATAACAAAAAAGCCAACACGTAAATAAGAAAGTAAACAAAGGAAATAAAATGACTGATTCTGATATCAACCACACAATTCGGTGTCAATGTCCCTTTTTGCGTCTCAGGATTGTGTTGGTCAGCAACGTGAAGACCATCAAGGAGGTGTTCTCGCAGGCGAAGACAGCAGGACGCCCCGAGCTGTTCATCATCACCGTCAGGAATAACTTGCTCACTGACGGTAGACACTCGGCCCTCGGTGAGTTTTGCGCTTGGATAAGGTTGTTTGTAAATGTGTCTTGTATGGCAGAAATGTGATCATGTGTTTGGAGAAACCGACTGGTGAAACAGTCCCCGTAGATAGACACAACAATGAAAATGAACTCATCTACATACATACTTACATATATATATATATATATATATATATATATATATATATATATATATATATATATATATATATATATTTACAGACACACTATAACCATCACACAGACGCAAGTAGATACTAGCCAGCGGTCACGGACTTCAATTTGCGACCTATATCGTCGACATCACTAGCATCAACCTTTCCCTTGTTCTGAGGCTGTTATCCTACCCCCTGAGACCTTGCTTTTATTG